TTAAAACTCACTCCAGGTGCGTGTGCGTGCATGCCCAAGATCCCGAGAGGAGAATGGAGGAGAAGGGATTGCGGTGTGGCCATCCCCCCTGGGGGGTGATTTCTCGTTTTCTGTCTCTATGTCTCTCTCTGTCTGTCTGGTGAGCGCACGCGCCCTGTAGCAAAATCCTCTTAAAAAGAAAAAAAAGAAAAAAGAATGATGTCTGCCAGAGGCACATGGTCAGGCCCCTCTGGTGTCTGGTACAGAGACTAAAGGGAATGTTGTATCCCATGATTCATAATTTCAGCAAACATTTGTATTGCTCCCTGGTGTATGTATTCATTTTCTCATTTGATCATAATAGCACAGAGAGGTATATTTCTCATTATCTACACTTTAAAGGGTGGGAAACCTGAGCCCAAGACACGTCTAGGCCTTTGTCTAAGAGAATACAGCTGGGCTGGTAGCCCAGGTCTTCCCACACTGCATACATGGTCAGTCTTGCCTAGCTCTGGATTTGTTCAAAGCTTAGCTTGGTAGGGAGATGTAAATATACTGATGTAAAATATATAGTTTTCAAGGTGAGAACAGGAAACTAGAACTCAACTTTTTTTTGTACTCCATAGAATTTTTTAGATATCCATAGGAAGTAGATACTTATATCTACTTAGTCCCAAGACTCTTACACCAAAAAAATATTATCTCTCTTTTACACAAAGCACAATCGAAATCAAGTGATTATAGACACTGCTGACTGCCACACAGGATGTTGGTGTTAGAGTTAAATTCCAGAAAACCTCCAGAGAGCTTGCTATAGCGGAAGCTTGTAGATGCATAGCTCATTGAGGACTGGATTTTGTTACCTTCCCACTACCCAGGTTCTCTTCAAAAGTGTTGTCAGCCCCTTAGGTACCAATTGGAAACAAGCCTCTTTCCTGGCTTCATTTCCCTTTATTATACTTCTAACGGACTTTGCTAATTCTTTGTGGACTTCAGTAACACTTGTACTATTTAAATTTGAATAACCCCAAAGGATCAGGATAGGTCAATGTGTTTCAACCACAGGCTTTAGTCCGTGCATTAGTTGATTAAATGCAGATTTCATACAAGATGTACACTTAATAAAGGGAGGAGAAAGCAAGCAGATGTTTGTAAAATCTGAATGTGTTGGATTGCATTTATCTGGCCCTCTTTTGCCTACTAACTTTAGAAAAGCCATACCTATGACAATTGAACTGTAAACAGTTAGATGATGTATTTCCCTAGAAATTTCCTGCTGTGAAAGGAAAACTAAAAGGATTCCCTTAAGTTAACACACCCAAAGTTGACAGATATACACTACTATATCAATTGTTAAACTGAGAATATTAAATAATGGAATGCCTCAAACTTATTCTCAAGCTTTTGACCATAAAGTAATTAGCAGTTGCAGTTCATTCCAAACAACAGAAAAACTTTGACTTTCATTGTTGTTGTTATTGTTATTATTGTTGTTGTTAAGAGCTTTAAAAGCAAGTTAGTTTTTCTTTGGTACAAACACAAGATCATAAAGCTACACCTAAATCTCTCTGTCTGGCCCATTCTCTGATTCTCTGGCTTCTTGTATCCCATCCTTTAAGTGAGAAAGTTATTTTTCACCTTTAGAATTGTCATATTTGTCATGTTTTCAGTGTTTTAAAGACAAAAATTGAACATTTCTTGTTGATCTTGAAGTCCAAAGGAAATATCCACAAAGCTTCTTTCTAAATTCTTAGCACATGAGAATCACAGATAATATAGTTTAAAATGTATTTTAAAGAAGACGTAACCAAGGTTAAATGTGAGTGGAAAGTCTTTAAGGACCAGAAGTGGAGAAGAGTTTAGAGTGGTGAGAGGAGACTGAAGCTGAACTACTCTCAAGAAGTAGAGATGAGATTGGACAGTGGAGACCTCAGGGAACACATAGGGGAGGGTACACCACATGTGGCCAAGCCCATACACCTGGAGGCTGAGACTTGTGCACACATTGGGCTGTCAGGGTACCTTATACCTTCTCCAGAGGTGAAGCCAGACACAGAAATCTGTTTTTTTGGTTGGTTTTGTTTTTTTGTTTGTTTGTTTGTTTGTTTGTTTTTGCTATAGGGTGCGTGCGCTCGCCAGACAGACAGAGAGAGACAGAGAGACAGAAAGCGAGAAATCACCCCCCAGGGGGATGGCCACGCCACAATCCCTTCTCCTCCATTCTCCTCTTGGGATCTTGGGCACGCACGTACACGCGCCCGGCGTAAGTTTTAAGCCACCGGGTCCGGGACGTGAACCGCGGTCGACTACATGGGAGTCCAGCGACATAGTCATTACGCTAACTGCTGGTCCCCAGACAGAGAAATCTTATGGAAGGAAACAGAGCACTGAGCCAAGCCAGAATCTGTGTCTCTACCACACACAGGTGTCCTGTGGGAATGTTCTCTTTGGGGAAAACCTCAGAACCTAACCTCGTTGTGTGTGTCTCTCCTGGCTGCGATCAGTCAGTCCCCAATCTCAGCACAGGAACAAAGTTAACACATTAGATTGGCTATCAGTCAAAAATTACAAGACACAAGCTAAAATCAGATTCTTGGGAAACATTGAGTAAACATAATTAAATAAAGAATTTCCTTTTCTCAAAAGTACTTAAGAATAAATGTGAGGTGGGTCTTCAAAAACTCCATCCTGGACCCAGTGGCTTAAACTCACACCGGGCGCATGTGCGTGCGTGCCCAGGATCCTGAGAGGAGAATGGAGGAGAAAGGATTGCAGCATGGCCATCCCCCCTAGGGGGTGATTTTTCACTTTCTATTTGTCTATCTCTCTCTGTCTTTCTGGTGAGCGCACGCACCCTATAGCAAAAGCCTCTCCAAAAAAAGAAAAAAAAAACAAAACTGCACTCGAAACTACATGTATAGAAGACTTTGTGAACACACAGTACTACAAAGGGCCTTCAAAACATGCATGAAAGTGCATACTATTATGATAAAACTATGCATGGGTTTCAAAATATTTTGCATTCAATCAAATTCATACTTTAATTCCATTTATCCTCAAACCTTTAAAGCCCCTTTGTATGTATAGTTTTCTTAAAATTATGAAAGAAGGAATTGTGTCTTTGAAACAGGAACAGAAAGTAATTCAGTTAAAAAAAAAGGGGGGGTATGATAACTTACTGGGAATGAAAATGCAGTCATTGAAATTTTAAAAATTCAGCAATATAATAAAAGTAAGATTAATAAACTTAAGAATAAACAGACTTCTGCTTCTAACATATGCATTTTAAGGGTTAGATAAAAGTGATTTTTCCTCTTAATACATCTTTCTAAATAAAAAAAAATAGAAAAGTGGAACAAAATGGAATTTTTGCAACTAAATTTTATACTGTAATAAAAAATCACCTTTTAGAAAATTGTTATGTTTCAAAAACTCTTGTATTCTTCCTGAATCCTCTTTCTCCCATGGCAGATTATAAATCTAAGGTTTATTTTCTTTCCCATGACATTTCCATTATTCCATATATTTATTTTCTTTGATCTATATTTATGTTAAAATAGTTTCCCTAATTCATTGTCCTCTCACACCTCCCTGATCTTGGCATATGATACTGGTCTATTCTCTGCTCATGGAGAACTAGTCTGCCTGCTCATCTCTACTTCCATTCCATGAAATTCCTACTCTTGCCTATCATAATTTCCCTACCTATCCTTCCAGCCTCAGCTAAAAGACTGTCTTCTTGGAAACCTTCTCCCAGCTGCCATCAACTCTTCCTCTCCACTCATTTACAGACTTTCTCTTCCAGTTGCACAGACATTTCCCTGTGGACAAGGAATAGATATTTTCATGCTTGTTTGTATAGTATCGTTCTTATTAGTAGAAGCTCAATACATACTTGTTGCGCAAATGGATACATCAATGAATAAATGGTATAAATAAAGAGCATGTGGAATGAGCGAGAAGGGAAAATCTTAGGAAGTCTTTTCCACAGCAGAGGGTTATTGTGATAGACAATGATTGAATAATCATTCCAGGGAACTTCAGACTTGATGCTCTAAAGGAATATTGTAGATTCTTAAGCAGGCTATTGATATGCTAAATATAGTATTCAGGGAAATTTGGTCTGGCATGATAGACAAAGAATAGAAGCACAGGGCCAGCTGGTGGTATACTGGTTAAGGCACTGGATCTCACATGGCCAACTGCACAATTCAAGTCCTAGACCCAACAGCTTGTAAAACATGCTGTGTGTGTGTGTGTGTGTGTGTGTGTGTGTGTGAGCACCCAAAATCTCCCAAGAGGAGAATTAAGGAGAAGGGATTGTGGTGTGGCCAGCCCTCCTGAGGGGTACTTTCTCACTTTCCTTGTGTCTATCTGTCCATCTCTCTCTCTCTCTCTCTCTCTCTCTCTCTCTCTCTTTCTCTCCCTCCCTCTTTTTTGGGTGAGTGGCACATCCCTGTAGCAAATTAAAAAAAAAAAAAAGAATAGAAGCACAAACAATAAGATGTATTATGACCATGTTTGTGATGAAGACTTCTTATAAGTGCTATAAATAGCCACATTTTCAGCAATAGCTGGACAATTAAATCCTTCATCTAAGGAATTAACTTCAGCCTTCCCATAAAAGGGCAAATGCTAAAAATCTAAGAGTAGGTGATCTCGTGTAGGAATATAGTCCTTATATTATTGCCATTTCTGATTGAAGTAAGGCAATAGAAATCCAACAACTCCCTTCTTCCCAGCTTATGATCTAATAGTAACCTATAGCTAGTAATTCAGTTGAATATTCCTGAGTTAGTGCTAGAGGCAGGAATAAGAAGAATAAAACTTGGATATTTCTAAAAGTTTCTTTTAAAAGCAGCTTTTGAAAATCTAGTTTAAATCTATAAATTCTTGAAATTGTATTGATTTCATTGAGTTTGCTAAAAAAAAGTATCGGTTTTTCCTGAGTATGAGTAATTTTCTGTATACTAAAGTATAAAATATACAGAATAATATTTTTCCTCTTTTTTCTTGACCAGCAAAATATAGAGAGTAACCTCACCAACCTTATTAAGAGGAACACAGAACTGGAGACCCTTCTGGCTAAACTCATCCAAACCTGTCAGCATGTTGAGGTGAGTATCTCTAGCTCTGTGTGGAATGTCTTGTATGAAAACCCCTAGATCAGGGTTTTTATAGTCTCATGCTTTATACTTTCCAAACAGAAATCTTTCTTAAAGTTAAATCTTTTGCAGAAGCTAAATATCTAAGACCATTAAAATGCGAAGGAACTAAAACCTCAGACTCTCTCCATCCAGGGCTTCCTTCCCCTCCATTATAACTCTCTCTGATCTAGCACTATAAAGCACCCTTTATACTGTAGATTTTAATCATCCTTGTAAAGAACAGCCCAATAATGCACCATTTCAAAGGTGTTATGTTGGTTTACTAGGGCAGCAGTAACAAGTGACCACAAACTTGGTTTATGTGAAACAATAGAAATGTATTCTCTCATGACTCTAGAGACCAGAAGTCTGAAATCAAGATGTTGTCAGGGTCAGGGTCACAGTCCCTCTGAATGCTCTGGAGGAGGAGGTTCCTTCCTTGCTTCTTCCTACCTTCTAGGGTTGCCGGCAGTTGTTGGAGTTCCTCAGTTTGCAGCTGTAGCACATTCATTTCTACCTTTGTAGTCATATAACTATCCCTTTGTGTATCTGTATTTGGGCTCAAATGTCTTTCTTTCTCTTTTCCTTTCCTTTCCTTTCCTTTCCTTTCCTTTCCTTTCCTTTCCTCCCCTCCCCTTCCCTTCCCTTCCCTTCCCTTCCTTTCCTTTCCCTTTCCCTTTCCCTTTCCTTTCTTTTCTTTTCTTTTTGTTCTCTTTCCTCCTTCCTTTTCTCCCTTCCTTCCTTTCTTCCTTAATTGCCAGAGGGCACTTGTGATCACTAGAGAGAGAGCAAAAGCATCTACCAGTGAGGTGTGGTCACACTGCAATCCCTTCTCCTGTATTTCTCCATCTTGTCAGGAATTTGGTTACACATGCACACATGCCTGGCACGTTATTCAGCCTGCCAAGGTCAGGATTCAAACCATGGTCAGCCATATGGGACTTGACTCCCTTAACCACTAGACGTGGGGCTGGCCCCAAATTTCTTTCCTATGAGGACACTAGTCATTAGATTAAGGCCTTATTCTACTCCATTATGACCTCACTTTAACTTGATTACATCTGCAAAGACCCTATTTCCAAAAGAGATTTCATTCATAGGTTAGGGATTTAGGACTTGAACATATTATTTTGGGGGACACAATTCAACCAATTACAGGTGTGTATTAAATGTATTTTAGTCATCAGATGTGTTTCCTTAAACTCTCCACAGTTGCAGGAATAGCAGAACCTATGATGAGTATACACTGTGTAAAGAAAAAATAGACACTAATTCTTTAGTGTGATTTTCTTTTCCCTTTTTTTAGTTTTTGCCACAGGGCACATGCATTCACGAGAGAGAGACAGAGTGACAGTGAGAGGGAAAGTGAGAAATCACTCCCAATGGGAAATGACCATGCCACAATCCCTTCTCCTTCATTCTCCTCCTGAGATTTTGGGCAGTCACATACACATGCACAGTGTGACCTTCAAGCTGCCACTGGGACTCAAACCGCTATTGGCCGTGTGGGAGTCCGACACCTTAACCACCACACTACTATTTGCCAGCCCCTTTATATGATTTTCTTTTTCTTTCTTTGATCTTACTATACGTGTATATATTTATTTTCATACAAATAATCAAATTTGGGGTCAGCAAATGGTGTAGTGATTATATCGCTCAACTCCACATGGCCAGCTGTGGTTCAAGTCTCGGACCTGGTGACTTGAAAATCACACTGGGCACATGTATATGCATGCCCAAGATACCAGGAGGAGAAGGAATCCTGTCTGGGGGGTGATTTTTACTTTCCCTCTCACTGTCCCTGTCTCTCTTTCCAGCGTGCGCATACACCCTATGACAAAAATCTCTAAAAGAAAAAATAACTATAATTGAAATGAAAAAATTTAAACAGAAAATAGAAAGCAAAAACCCTTTATGTGATTTTCGAAGTCCTCTTACATCTTCTTCCAACTTGTTTTTTCCACCAACCCCTGCACCACCACCATGCACATTAAACAATCACCTATTCTATTTTTTATCAATTATTGTTAATGTGTTACTATGCCTGATTTATAAATTAAACTTCATCATAAGTATGGTGTATAGGAAAACATAGTATCTATAGGGATTGGTACTATCAGGCCTTTAATCAAGTAGTTCTCTCCACCTGGTGGCCCCCCACCTGGACCCCTTGTCTATTTGTCTGAATACTTCCTGTATGTCTTCCAAGTCAAGTCAATTATAAATGTTTCTCTGTTTCCCTGAACCAGAGTCATTACTTCTTCCTTTCAATCATATAACATTTTATCAATATTTGTTTCATGGTGTTTATCACATTTTTTTGTACTAGTTCCATTTTTCTAACTAGTATATGAAGTCTTTGAGCATGGGGATCAAATCTAATTTATCTTTGAACGTTATAAATGCTAATGCAATAGTTTTCACATAATAGAAACTCAGAGGATTTATTTCAGACATATATGCATGATGACTCCCCAAAGGGCCAATCCAAATAATATTGGATGTTTGCAAGTTCAGCTCTCGAAAATATCTAAGGTTGGAGAACCAAATTATTTTGAATATTCACTTTTACTTTTTTGATAGTAACTCTGTTTCACAGTAGCAATTTCTTCAACTCCTTCCTTTTAATTATCTAAGCAGTAATTATGACCTCTCACGTGCCTGTCACTGTTGCAGCAGATGCACCATGTAGTTAAAAAAAAAAAAAAGGTCACAATGTGTTAGAGAATAATGACACATGCTTAATAACAATAAAGAGTGTTGGCAGGTGGCATGGTGGTTAAGGAGCTGGATGGACTACCACATGGCCAACCACAGTTTGAGTCTGAGACCTGGTGTCTTGAAACTCACACAGAATATGCATGTGTGCATGCCCAAAATCCCAGGAGGAGAATGAAGAGAAGGGATTGCTGCATGGCCGGCCATCCCTTCTGGGGGTAATTTCTCACTTTCCCTATCACTGTCTCTCTGGTGAGTGCACGTGTCCTATACCAAAAACCTACAATAAATAAATAAATAAATAACAATTGAACAACAGTAATGTAGCCATCCAGATGCTGAGTTCATTTTTTTTGTGTGTGTAATTTTTGTCTTTTTTATTTATTATTATCATAATCTCATTTATCTTACATTGAATCACATATAACCCCATAGTATATTACATTTCTTTTTCTAGAAGGAATACCATGTATATCAGTCAAGACATTTGTTTTGTTTTTGTCAGAGGGTGCGGTGCGTGTACTCACCAGAGGGAGAGAGGGAGAAAGCCCCAGCAGCTGGGACATGGTTGTGTTGCAATCTCTTCTCTGCCATCTCTCCATCCTATCAGGCCTTTGGGCACAAACGCACGTGCGCCTGGTATGTTTTATCAAGCTGCCAGGCTGGGATTTGAACCATGGTCAACTAGGTGGGATCTGACTCCCTTAACCACTAGGCCATAGGGCCAGCCCTGCTTTTACATTTTCAGAGTTTATTTACGGGACTAGCAGGTGGCGTAGCAGTTGCATTTCCGGACTCCCACATGGCTGACTATGGTTCGAGTCCCATACCTTGTGGCTTGAAACTCACACCAGTGTGTGTACATGTGTGTGCCCAGGAGGACAATGATCCTGGGGGGACACTGAAGGGGAAGGGATCAAAGGGGAAGGGATTGCAGCGTGGCCATGCCTCCTGGGGGGTGAGTTCTTGCTTTCTGTCTCTCTGGGGAGTGCACGTGTCCTATACCAAAAACCTACAATAAATAAATAAATAAATAACAATTGAACAACAGTAATGTAGCCATCCAGATGCTGAGTTCATTTTTTTTGTGTGTGTAATTTTTGTCTTTTTTATTTATTATTATCATAATCTCATTTATCTTACATTGAATCACATATAACCCCATAGTATATTACATTTCTTTTTCCTGGCTTGCTTCACTCAGCAATAGATCCTCCATATCTGACCATAGAATATTGTTATTTATCTGATTCTAAGGTCCACATTTTTTTTCACAGCTGAATGTCTCCAAAATTGGTCTGCAACTTAACATTAATGATGAGACACAGTTTAATGGACAGCATTTTTTTTTATTCCTACTGATGCACAAAATATGAGGGAGGCAATTAACAATATCTCAGGTTGTCTATAGAGTGTGGTATAGGAATTGAGAATTAAAAGAGAAAGAAAGATGTGAGTACAATTTGCCTAAAACTTTACAGAGGAGTCAGGACTTGAACCAGATCCTGTAGGTTTCACAATTACTATTTTTCAAAATACTCAAGATATTGGGATGGCAGCTTATTTATGCAACCCAGTGTTGTTTGTCAGTGATACAGTAGTGCTCCCCCTCCCTCCCCCCACCTCCCCGCTTAGCCACGGTTTCAGTTAGCCATGATCCATAGTGGTCCAAAAATAACTGAGTATAGTATAATAAGATAATGTGAAATGGGGTTGGGGGGGGGGGGGGACCACATTTACAAAACTTTA